ATGATATATATCATGATTTAAAACTTATAATAGAAAATAAATAAATCACATATTAATTGAGTGGAATGTATAAATATGTATAGGTAAAAAAAATTTAGACCTTAAAATCTCCTTTTTAAGGGACACTAAAGTCTCCCATAAAAATCTAAATTTAAGGGAGACCTACCTGGTTAAATCAAAGATATATATCACACACTCACACAATAACTTTAATGTAACAGATATCTGCATCCATTGGGTGTTGTGTTTAGAATTACTTGCTTCGTTTTAAGGTGCTAAAACAAATTGTATTTATTCCTTTCTACACACTTTGCAGATTACTTTTTCTGCACTCCACGTGTTTAATCTGTGCGAGCTCCGGCGGGGTGACAATCATCCCGTTTATGCCTTTTTTTTTTTGGAAAGACAGTCTGTCAGCCTTTCCCACAGCGCTTCCCCGCTGTACAAGGAGACAGTATTGCGCTATGACCATAGGAGAAACGAGGTCCAGACTCAGAGAGCTTTTCTGCGTCCCACCTGAGTACTGACTTCACCTGCACTGATAGTCGCCTCGCTGCGTCACCATGTGCCGCGGTGCGCGCTCCTCCCGCTGCAGGCAGTGTGGTCGTTTGGCAACCGACCGGAGGACGCGCCATCACGTAAACATGTAAACAGTTCGGCGTTCATTTGTGCACACCCGAACCAGGTCTGGATAAGTTGTTTTTTTACCCCTCTTCATTTGCGCTCTCAGCCACGCTGCTTCCTGCTTCCTCTGTTTTGACTCCAGCCGGTTACGTCATCAAAAAGAATTGCGTGGTTGGCCGGTAGACTACAGATCTCTATCATGGGACAAATCTATATCGTTTCTACCGTATATCGTTAATATCGCGCATTCCTAGTGAATAGTGATATATTTATATACATATTTTATAAACTACTGTGATTATTTTTGTGATTAAAATGATGATTTTATGTGCAGACTGGTCTGGGCGGCTATCACAAACGGTTACGCAGAGCAGGAGGTACATTTTAGTTAGATACAYGCCTGAAAACATTTACAACACATAAATATTTTTACAATTAGAACTCAGTTCTCTTGTGAAGGTTTCTGGTCACATGTTAGGGAGAACCTCCATTGATGTGACAGCTTGCCTCTAGGGAGTGGCCAGAACCTGAACAAAGTGTTGATAAGATGCTGAAACTTCCTGCCTGAGAGGATCCTTGACCGATTAAAAGGCTGAGGCTATTAGCCTAGCCGTTGGGTTGGTGGCAGTGGTGGGCACCAGCCCGCTAAAGCGCAAGTCTGCTATTTGTGGGCCTAAATATTTTGTTTGCGCTTTAGCGGTCTTACTAATTTTTATAATTCATAAGTGGATTTGCGCTTTCTAAAATTAAAATGCAGGACCGCTAATAACTAATTATCTACCAGTCATCATTATCTTGAACAGCAGAAGGTATGGCTGTCACGTGATCTAACCAATAGCACCCCTCCCAGATAAACACACTTATTGAGAAGGTATACATCCTCGCTGACTGTTGCTTTCGGCCACGGTTCTGATTTCCCACAATGCTTTGTGTCTGCTTACGTAGCAGGAAGTCAATAGCAAAAACAGTAAACGTTTGTAATCCATACTAAAATTTTGTATGGTTTTATTTTACTTAACAATCGGAGCTCCTTTTTAAAAAAAAAAAAGTTTAAACGCTAGAGCTCAATACTTGACGTAATTGGTCAAAGCAATCGGCCAATGGGGTTAGAGACTCAGAAATGGTTTAAAGATGTTATGCTGATGAAGACTGACATCTAGTGGTCAACCAGAGCAACTGCATGAAAAACTTTAAAATCTAAGCTCTTATTTTGAAGGGAAGACAGTTTCCTGAACTACGTGCTTTCATTTCCCGTCATAAATCAAATCTGTCATGTACCCAGAATACATTGCTTCAGTTTTTCAATAAACAGTTTTAAAATTACTTTATTGATGCTTCTTTAATGAAAAATCTACAACGAACAGAAGAAAAAAGCAAAGAAGTAGCTGAACTAGCAATGCTCAACAACTTTTTAAAGAATCGGCTGAACTAGCAATCCTCAACAACCTTTTAATTTTTACACCAGGAGCTAAAGGCCGGTTTCATGAAATCACGTGCCCAGCAATCGGTGCTTGTAGGTAAGATTAAGTTGTAAAAGGGTTCATACACTGCTAGTTGGCAGTGTTGTACATATGTTGTGCAAGAATTGTCAGCTAGTAAGTGTCAAATTGAACTTGCGCTTTAAAATTAGCTTCTGCTATTTTTTTATGGCATATGCGCTTTTGAAGTTGCAGACCTAAATATTTTCATAAGCACTTCAGAAATTGCRGAGCCAATTTTTGCATTAGCGCTGCCCACCACTGGTTAGTGGCTTCAGTTCTTACATTGACATTCAAGTCTTAATTCTGTATTTGTTGCCTTGTCCTTTACACATATTGAAGTAACTGAACACGCTATATTTTTCAAAGTACTACTGGTTAAAAGTTAACACCCTCATTTTTTCTTTTTTTTTTGTTTGAAATTTAAGCAGCTCAAGTCCAATTAACAGCGCGAAAGGGTACAATGGTAAGTATTGAACTGCCAGAGGTTTAAAATTATGTAAGGTTACCCAAAACTGAAAGTCAAGGTGCCTGAGTCCAGTTTCCATCAYCATCACAATGCACTCAAAAACTGGTTGGAACTCTGACAAGAAGAGGTCTGGCAGAGTCAGAGCCATAACAGCATCAGATGATAGGTTTCTGAGAGTTCACAGCATGTGGCCCACAGGCCCTTAGCTTCAAACACAGCTTAATGTGGTTGTAGAAGGTAAGTCTGTTTTAACTGTGAAGAGAAGACTTGGAGCTGCAGGTTGACAGGTTAACTCGCAGCGAAAACCATCTCAAAGACCTGAGAAGAAAAAGAGGCATGTCTGGACCATGAAACACCACCAGTGGACCAGTGAAGACTGGAAGAAGGTGTTGGTGTTGAATGACAAATTTGAAATCTGCAGTTCATCATACAGGACTTGTGTACAGTTTCTCAGTGTGACAACTGTTATTTACATGGTGTAAGAAGTGTGATGATATGGAGCTGTCCTGCTGGATCCAGGGTTGGGTCTGCCACTCCTCTTGCTGTCAGTTTCCACCAGTTTCTGAATGCGTTGTGATAGTGAAGGAAACTGTACTCGCAGACAGCTCAACTTTCGGTTTTGGGTAATCTTACATTTTTAAAAAAACTCTGGCAGTTCAGCACTTGCATTTGTACATTTCAAGCTGTTCATTGAAC